TTCGCCCTCGAAGTGTCTTCGGGCGCTGTTGTTAACAGCAGTGCTCGCATTACGTTCCAGTATGTAGCGCATGGTGGGCTTCGTATGCCCTCACCATGTCTGGAACGTCTTGGAGCAAGACGTTCCGTGGCTCCCATGTATCTTGGTTGGGAGGAAATCCTCTCCAACGAATACGAAAACGAACTGGTTGCCTGTTCGTTCTCGGGATACTGTGACCAACAATCCGCTCAACAATCCATCGAGTTGAGCCGTGTGCATCACGAATCGGCGGCGGTGGTGGTGGAAACACGCCCCGTGTGTGGTCAACTTGGTTTGACCCTGATCTCGCGTCTCCCCACGACCGGAACTCGGTCGTGGAGTAGTTCCAGAGCGCTGGGTTCGGCGCTCTGAAGTATCCTCAGGTTGCGGCGGCCTCCCAGACCGCCTCGATCGTTCCGGCCGAGCTGGACCATTCGCTGGACCCGCTGCTCCAGCGCGAAGTCGCGCTGGAGAGGATGACGGCTTCCGCCGAGTCTTCTGCGGCTCAGCCTAGCTAGGTAGCTCGTGCTGCAAGTATGGCTTCAGCCGTCCGACGTAGAACGTCGGATGAAGGCGAATACTAGACGGTATGTCCAGTGTGTAGGCCTTGCCGTGTCGTGCCAGCACAGTGAACGGCCCGATGAAGCGCGGAGCAAGCTTGCTTGCCCCGAAGTCGGAAACGACATGTTTAGACAAGTTTTGAGTAGCTAACAAGACTAACGAACCCTTCTCGAATTCATTAGTGTTGCCCCAGCCAACATTGTTTGCAGTCAGCTTCTGTCGGTCGACAGAAGCTGCAATAGCGTCTTGGACCAACCGAATGACGGCTTGTCTGCGCTGTACGAAGTTAATTGCGCCCGAGCTGAACTTGTTCAGCTCGTTTCCAGCAGTAGGCCCGGCCTCTGCGTTCGTCTTCGTGGTGTCTGTGCCCTGCACAGACCCGTTCTTCTTCTTCGTCTTCTTCTTCTTGTCAGTGTCTGTGCCTCGCACAGACACGTTCTTCGTGCTCTTGTCGGCGTCTGTGTCCTGCACAGACGCGCGGTTCTTGGCTTTACTTCGTGTCGTTGCGGCTGCTGCGTTGCAGTCGGAGACCCCCCCCAGTTGAGGAAGAAGTCACCATCCCGAGTAGACTCGGGAGGCGTGGGTGCATCATGGCATTCACGTAGAACGGTGTATGTCCAGTCGAGCCATGTACCGAGTTGTTGATGGCGAACTCCGCCATCGGCAGGCACTCGCTCCAGTGTTGGAACGAGTGAGCGTAGCTCTTGAGCACGTCAACGAGCACGCGATTCACGCGCTCGGTTTGTCCGTCCGTCTGCGGATGGTCCGCAGTCGACATCGAAAGTTGGCTACCAAGAAGCGTAAACACTTCTTGCCAAAGGTGCGCAGTGAAGCGCGGGTCTCGATCCGACACAATGTCGATCGGCATGCCATGGTGTTTGGACACCATGTCGACGAACAGACGTGCAGTCTGCTTCGCAGTCACTTCAGCGGGTACGGCAGCAGGATGTACTATCTCGCTGAAGCGGTCAACAAAGACTACAACGCCCGTGTTCCCCTGGCTGCCCGGGGGAAGACCGAATACGAAGTCCAAAGACATGGACTGCCAACACTCCGACGGAGTCGGCAGTGACTGCAAGGGAGCCTGCGCGAAAGGCGCAGGCTTCACACGTTGACAAACCGCGCAAGCACGAACGTACTTGCGCACCCATTTATACTGGTGGGCCCAGTAGAAGTCTCGCGTGAGAAGAAGGTATGTCTCTCACGGACCGGATGCCCCGCAGTCGGTGCATCGTGATACTCATACATGATCCTGAGTAGCAGGTCATGGTGATTGGGCACGACAACGCGGTCCGCGTTGTCGTCGACTGCGCTGTAGAGTAGTAACCCGTCGTGCACCCGATAACGGTGTGCACGAGCACGAAGATGCTTCGGCAGCTTCTGACGAGCTTTGTCAGCAGGCGCTGAGCTGTAGGCCAGCTAGGGCATCGCGTCCGCGTCGTGCACGTACGCGACCTTCACGTCGTCCAACAGTAACGACGTTGGGGTGCTTGATCGCATGGCGTCAATGGCATTGACGTCGGCATCAGTCGTGGCGTAGTCAGGTCGACGCGAGAGCGCGTCGCCCACCACATTGAGTCTTCCGGGTTTGTACTCAACTCGGAAGTTAAACCCTGCGAAGAATGAGAGCCATCTCGCCATCCATTGCGAGGTGTGCGGCGACTTCACAGTCGTCCGCAGCGACGCGTGGTCTGTGAAGACCACGAACGGTTTGCTTCCGAGTAGATACACTCGGAACTTCGCGAGTGCGTACTTCATGGCAAGGAGCTCCTTGTCATGTACCGGGTAGTTGCGCTCAGCTGGCTTTAGCGGACGCGATTGGTAGTAGACGACACGATCACGACCCTCGTGGTCGTGCTGCATCAACGCACATCCGATTGCAAAGTCGGATGCGTCGCACATAACGTGGAACGGGCGATCTTGGTCGGCCACCGCCAAGATTGGCGCCTTAGTCAAGCCCTGCTTGACTGCATCGAAGGCCTGCTGACACTCAGCAGTCCAAACCCACTCGGCGTCCTTCTTCAGGAGCTGTGACAGCGGGCGTGTCATGCCCGCGTAGTCCTTCACGTACTCGCACAAGTACGTGGCCAAGCCAAGCAACTGCCGCAGTTCCTTGACGTTCGACGGCGTCGGTCACTCATTGATCACTCTGACCTTATCAGGGTCAGGGCGGACACCGTTCTTCCCAACGAGACACCCGAGCACGGGTATCTCGCTCGCCCCGAAGATGCACTTCTTCAGGTTTGCATAGAGCTTGTGCTTGCGCATGAGTGCAAGCAGCTTACGGAGATGCACCTTGTGCATCTCAACATCGCTCATCCCGTCCGCAGCCCGGCTGTGGACGAACACATCGTCGAAGTAGCTCGGTGCGAAGTCGCGCACCGAGCGCAACAAGTGCGTCACGCACCTGTTGAAGGTCGCAGGGGCGTTCTTCAGCCCTTGCGGCATCACCAGCCACTCCCAGAGCATGCTGCTCGGCGTGCTCACAGCCGTGAGAGGGATATCGCACTCACGCATGAGGATCTGATAGAATCCATCGCGCAGATCAAGAGCACTGTAGATAGTGCTCCTGGCCATCGAATCGATGATGACATCTTTTCGAGGTATCGGCGTCTGCGCCGGTATCGTCGCATCGTTCAACTTGTTATACGCATGAACGATGCGCCAGCCGCCCTGTGGCTTCTTGACACAGAACGTCGGAGCACTGTGCGGGGACTTCGATTCCCGCACTTGTCCAGCTTTGCGACGACTTTCGAAGAAGTCGTCGATTGCTTTGACCTGCTCTCGCGGCAGTGACCACTGCCGCATGACACAGTACTTCGTGTCCGGCACGAGATCAATTTCGTGCTGGATTCCCTTGTCCTGCGGAAGCTCCGCAGTGATCTCTTCCGGAAGTACGTCCGCGTACTCCCGTAAGACCTCGTAGTAGGGACTCGTCTTCAACGAGTCCCAGCTCTACTCTTCAAAGCGCTCCTTCTTCGTCTTCGCACTGAGAGTGTCTTCGCTCTCATTGGTGCTCTCCATGAAGAACTGCCTCAGTTATTCATTCTCGCTCTTCGTTCTCTCAGCGTCCGAGAGAATGCATATTTGCTCGATACGTCCATCGTGCAAGTCACGCGCGAAGCGCTTTCAGCTCATGCCTGGAAGCGAAGTCAACTCCGACGCTGGGCTGCCGACGGGAGGACTGGTGGGAAGCCTCAACTCTGGGAATGGCCGGAGCGAGGGATTGGATGAGGGAAGTGAGGAGGACCAGCCTGTTGCTAAAGATGGGACGGCGGAGGGCCGTCTCATAAAAGATGTGGAGAAGTGGAAAGAAACAAGGGAAAAGATCAAGGCTACGTGTTGAAGTTACGGCTACAACAACTAAACGCGACGGACTGCGACGATGGGCCAAGACTCAAACCTGCTGGACAAACTTACCTGCAAGACGCGGCACATGGAAGGCGGGGTGATCGCGCGTCACTCGATAGCGTACGTTGGCGTCCATCTCGGCCACAGTGAGCGGCGTCCGATAGAACCGGCGCCAGGGCTCCTGCGCGTCGATGTCGTCGAGCGCGGCTTGCAACGTCGCGTGCTGGAGGCCTGGATACCACCGTCCGATCGACGTGTGCGCGGGCGGAAAGTGAAGCACCATTGGGTCCAGCAAGAGGTGCATGTCTGCGAGCCCTTGCTGGAACAGCCCGACCACCAGCTGCAACAGGCAGTTGAGGCGGCTGCCCGCGTGTGAGCGACGCGAGTTGCGCGCCGTGCGCCACCTTTTCCACGCCGCGCCCTGCACGAAGAGTTCATGGGTGGACTCCCAGTACGCCTGAGCTCAGTGCTCGATGTGGTGCCGGAGCCGACGTAGGAATGGGCGGAACACCGCGTCGCCGGACGCGAAGAGAAGCGCCTCAGCGGCTTGAGCGAGGTACCGCCATGGCCGAGTCGCGTATAGCGCGTCGACGTTGGCCAGAGTCACGAGGGCGCGGTTCCAGTTCGCAGGCGCGGGGGGAACACGGCGCGGAATGATCCAGCCGGGCGGCGGCAGGAAGAGCGTTCGCAACTCCTGCACGGTGATGAGATGAAGGCGGAGACGTCGTACCCGCTTGGGCCAAGGAGCGTAGCGAGGCTGCCAGACGGAGTTCCGGCAGGCGGAATCACAGGGTCGAAGAAGGGCGCCGCCGGAGCACTCCCCGCCGAGCCGCTGGAGGCGGTGCTCGCGGACGAAGTCGGAACAGGACGGAAGCCCGAAGGACCTGCTGGAGGGCAAGCGCCAGTCGGCGAGCCCGCCGTCGAAGCCGACGAGCCCGCCCGGGCACCAGAGCTCGACGCAGTTGAAGCAGGAACAAGAACCGCGGATGCCGCAGGAACTGCTGTGGACGTAGGAATAGCAGGGGAAGGGGGATTGCACCGTCGATCTCCGCCGCGAAAGTGGCTTCGAGTCACCTGACCAGGTCAGCGGTGTCGATCTGCCCGCCTACACGCGTTACGACGCCGGCGAGACGATCGGCAAGCTCGTCGCGCACCCGCCGCGCCAGCTCTCGGCCCCGACGCGCGTCTCGACGCATCCGACGCCAAGCCACAGCGCGTTCGTCGCGCTCTCGGATGGCCAAGTCGCGCTCCTCCTCCAGTTCGGCGACGCGAGCGCTGAGACGATGGGTCTGGGCGCCTACCGCTCCTCGACGCTGCTGAGACGACCACCGAATGGACAGCCACCCAGCTCGATACTGCGCCGAGCGAGATGTGGCGCAAAGTTCGCCGGCTTGAGCCCGCGCCATCTCGGACTCGGCGGCCACACGGAGAGTCGTAGCAGTAGCCACTGACTCCTTCAGCTTGTGGATACGCGTCGCTCCGCGGCGGAGCTCCTCGGCGTGGGCCACTAAGAGCGCGTTGACGCGCCGAAGGTCGTCCTGCAGCGGGACGTTCAGGTTCTGGGCCGCCTCGATCTCCATGCGGCTCTGAGAAAGCGACGCACGGGCCGCGCGGAGCTCTTCGTCGACCGGGGCGCGCTGCTGCTCCACAGCGGTCAAGGCCTGGCGAGCCTGATCTTTCTCGGCGACGACAGCGTCTCGCCGCTGCTCAAGGGCGGCCACGGCTGACGTGACTGGTCCCTCTCGGTGACAGCAGCGTCTCGCTCGCGTCTCAGGGCCGTGGAGGCTCGACGCACTTGATCCCGCATGTCGAAGGCCCCGTCACGATCTTGCTCGACGACCACGAGAACGCGGGTCACGCGGTCACGCTCGGCGAGAGCGGCGTCGCGCTGCTGCTCGACAGTGGCCACGAGCTACCGCATGTGATCTCGTTCAGCTTCGGCAGCGGCCACGCGCGCTTGGACAGGAGTGAGGGCGGCTTGGGCGGCTGCGAGGTCGACGCGTAGGTCGTCACGCTCGGCGCGCGCGTCGTCGCGCTCGCCTTGTGCAGCAAACAGCCGCTCTAGCGGGACGGTGGAGGGAGGCGGCGTAGCAGGAGCGCGCGCGAGTTGGGCGGTCAAGTCAGTGACCTGGTCACGTGCCGCCCGGAGCTGATTTTGAAGATCACGATATTGCTCTGTCGAGGAGCCTCGCTCGGCGCGGAGTAGAGCCTCGGCAGCGTCGGCGCGCCCAGCACGAGCGCGGAAGTCGGCCACTCGGTCCTCCAGGACGGCGTAGTCCCGCTCGGCGTGCTCCCAGGAGAGGAGCGCCTGCTCGAGCCGGATCATGCCTGCGCGATAACCCTCGCGAGCACGATGCAAGATCGCGAGATTGCGGTCATGCAGCACGGACGCTTGAGTAGCCAAGCCCGCATTGTGCGCTGAGACGAGTTCGTACTGGGCGCGCAGCTCCTGGTTCTCGCGCTGGAGAGTGTGCGCGTCGGCGACAAGAGCAGTCACCGAGTGGACGGGGGAGCCTGAAGCCGGAAGCTGGACTTGGGGCGCGACGGGGAGGCGAGGACGATGCGCGCCGAGGGCACAAACTGCGCAGCCAGCGGCCTCGAGGTCGTCGGTGCCAAGCTCTTCTTCCTCCAGGTCGATGTCGTTGACGTCGACGTCGCGGCGAGCCATGAAGCTTGGAGTACCGCGAAGCGGACTGCGTGGGCAGAAAACGCGATGGTGTCGAGACGAAGCGAAGGCGTGGGGCAGGTTCTGCGACGATACACCCACCTGGGGAGTGCGCGTGCGTGGCCGCGGGACGAAAGTGGTGTAGTACCCCGCGGAAGAAGTGGGCGCGCCGGGCGCCGGAGGAAGAAGGCGCCGGGACGCGAGTGATGGACTTCGACGCGGCTGATAGAACGCGACACGGATTGATGGGCGCGCACCCGGTTCTGCAAAATGCACCGACCCTAAACCCCGCCGAGCAAAACGCGCCGAGTAAGACGCGCCGAGCAAAACGCGCCGACCAAAACGCGTCGAGGTAAGATCTTGATTACGCCACGCAAATCAGGTTGAAGGACGGCAGTGCAAGCACGACAGAAGTAGGGATAGGCACAGAACGATAGGCTTAGCAAGCAGTAGTACGGAGTAGCCAGTAGCTAGGGCATAGGATAGGGTAAGGACTCAGTCCCGAAATTTCTCTGAACCATAAAGACCTCCCGTCTTCTCCGAGGTTCCAGGGGAACCACCAAGCGCCGGCAAGTAGAGCCGCCTCGATATCGCGGCCCCCCGTCGTTTGCTGGTTCGGGTGCTCACCCCCCACAGACGCGTGCTGGAACAAAGGCACGTTAAACGTATACCGTTTAGGTGGGCGCCCGATAACGCGCTGCCTAGGCGAAGGACCGCACTGGCCTGATAACCGCCGTGCACAAGACCCCCGTGTAGGCCCGATAACGCCAAACAAGCCCCAGGAAACGCCGGCCCGATAACGCCGCACGCCCAAGGCTCGACGCCCTACGACAAGGAACAAGCGTCAACACAAGACCCCCCCCCCCCAACTCCAAAACCTGCGAAGACTTGGGCCTGTATTTCGAAGATACGCTACTCCAAAAACCGGGAATAGTTCGCTCGGCGCGACCGCTATCCAGACGCGCCGAGTTTGTGCGAGATCGCATTCGCGAGATTTCTGCGAGGGCGCTACTCCACACTAGTTATCGTTCATTATATATGTTTCCTTATTGCGCTCAATGTGCATGAGGTTATCTACTACGCGTGCAGACTAACAGTTTTTAACAGCCGTGCATGCCATAGTCGCGGCAGCAACATTGGCCATTGCGGCTGGGTGCAGATGACATCTGGAGGAAGAATTTCAACATGGATCGCGAAAGGTTACTGGAATAATTCGCTCGTATTTTCACTCTGAAAATGAACACACCACGAAATTGAAACATCGAAAGTTAACCCCTTATTCACATTTCGTTGTGCCAGTGTGCACATTCTGCTATTACACTTACCTGAGTAAGTAAAATACAAGTGTACTGGCATTCGAACCACAGGTCAGGTGTATCAGTCTACCGTTAAAAACAACGTATGAATGGTACTTATGTTGTTTGCAAAATTACCAGCAAATCGGGGAGCGTGAAAGGGGAAATAAAGCGCTAGAATTTGCAAGCGGATTTGTACTCAAATTCCTCAAGTGGGGACGTCGTCAAAAACTCTGTGGTCAGCATAGTTTTGGGGGTCGGTCGCTGCGCTCATGTTGCTTTAGGGGTCGTGATGCTCCGCTAGTTCTAACAACAACTAATAGAGCGACCGTCAAGTGTGCATGAAGCCCCATGGCGACAAAATTAGGGTGGTCCACATAACGTACATAGACAGTCTTGGACGTCGAAGGCTGCCGAGCGCAGCGATGGCGGCACCCGCGTGCGTTCTAGCGGGCCGCAGGGCCCTATGTACTAATAACACGGCGAGTAGTGCAGCGAGCTGACGAGGCGTGCGGAACGGGGACGATAAATATGTATCACCCCCGTTGCCAAATACTTTTCGGACCATCTGATATTGATTCTCTGGATTTTATCCAGAGTCCATGGGTGGGTGCCACTGAGGTGCCATTATTCTTGCATCAAATACCTGACCAATATGATATTTATTGCTGATCACATATGCAGTCGATATTCCTGTTATATTAAATAACCTGCTCCCTAATCAATTTATGCTGCTATGTTGACCCATCCGGTTGAGATTAAGACAAATTACCTATTACATTTGATACTCCCTAATCAATTATATATATCTGCGACATCTAATTTATCTACCGCTTAAGCAACATCCATCCGATTTGTTTCGCTCGGTCAACATGCTGACGGGATCCCGCCTTGAAGTGTTCCAGTGGTGATGATTTCGGCATCGCATTACACTATAACAACGACGATGTTGATCCCACCGTGTGCTGTACACGCAATAATAAGAGCTCATTCCTACAATTACGTCGCAACGTCTACTTTGATGGGCGAGTTCATTGACCCCCAGAGTTGTTGTGGTTAATGGAAGCCGTAATCGAGTTTTCGTATCGAGCTGCCGTAGCGGCTGGCGCCATATCCTTTTTTGGCGAGAACCCGTAGAGTATCAACACTCGTTCATGGCTGAAGAGATCGGGGGGACTAAAGGGGCTGCGAATACATGCATATCCAGGAACACAAGTTGAAATACGCCCACTTCCCAAAAAGCTATCACGAACTAGCCAGGAATACCATACTTTCGCTCTATATCTTATTTTTCTCGTGAAATTGATGCGGCGACAGTACATGTACATCAGGCAGCCGAAAAAAAATTGGGGGCGCCAAAAATGGCCAACTAGAGAATTGGGCTGGATGTGCGCCTGAAAACGGTATGCCAGTCCGTTGAAGCAAACCAAAATCGCTTGGCTACAAACCTACCAATTAAGACATTAGTTCTCTAGACAAACTGTACCAACGTACAGGATTATCCGAAAAACATGGGGGCCAAGACGCAAGCAGCCTAAAGGTTAGCCGCGCCACTCGGAGTAGGACAGCCCCAGCAACTTGTCAGCATAAAGCCCGCAGCGATCATGGCGTAGATTCTAGCGCGATCTCCTGTGCTTTAATCGTAAGAAGTGACCGTGTATTCCTAACAAATTCATTCTCCGTGTAATCCTAAGGAAAGTTGTATGAAAACGCAGAGAAAATGATGAGTGATCCAGACCACAGGCCGTTCCTTAGAACTAGAGTAGCGATACACAACTGAGTCCTCAGTTCAGCTTTTTCGGTCGCCGCAGCAGCAATGCCTCCCCCCGTGCTCACGGTAAAAACTCCGCTGGTGTGGCACGAACTAGCTGGACTTACCTCGCTGCAGAACAACCGAACGGGCCGACACTCAGAAAAAATGCCCTCATCTGCCCGTCGTCGTGCTAGCTATACTTGTTTCTCGTAAGCTAGTTGCCGTGCCGATGCTTTCATACACCCATAGAGCTGTATAAGATACTATTATCACCTAGCGATCTCTTCGTATTAGCGCAACATACATGGTCCGCGCAATTAGATGGCACCACTACATTACGAAAACCATCTGCATACAAACTAGAAAAGCGGGGTTCTAGGTGCCTCCTTTTAGTAAAATTCTTCCTTGGCCGACTGGGTTGTCCAAACTGAAGCTCTACTCCTGAACCTGGCATCTGTCCAAGTAAGCGTAGCGAGCGATTAAGGTCGGAGGACCGTAGCATAGTGGTAGTTTAAATCAGTATAACTCATGACTACAAATCTACTACTAAGTACTTGCATAGCTTTTTACAAAAGCTACCAAGCTGGAGTAATTCCTCCTTATATGCCCAAGAGCAACGTAAAATCCAGAGCTGTTCCGGGCAGAGCACGGCTTTGTTAAATTTGGCCTACCGCGTAGCAGCGATAGCTGGACCCGCACTTCTACTTAGAATAATAGCCCTGCAACGAGGTTTGCTGTAAAGTAACTGTCACGAGCGTAGTAAGCGATAGCAACGCGTAGTAAGCGATAGCAGTGTGCAGTAAGCGATAACAGCGGGAAGTAAGCGATACCAGTGCGATGTTGCGATTGGACACTTCGCAGTCTAGTTGTGCGACTCCGTATCGAGGCACGTGCGGCTGTGGAGTTGTTGCCAAGGCGTACGGTTGTACTGTATGTTACAATGTGATTGGCTGGTTCCCCGGATTTGGTGATTCTGATTGGCTGAGAGAAGGTCAAGTTGAAGTTGCCGTTTGCATGGGATCTGCAACCACAATCGACATTTAGTTTTCGCAGCCTCCACAAAACATGTTGGGGGGGGGGGGGGGGGGAGTTAGAAGCTAGGACTTCGTGTACTCGTTCGTAAGACACGGTAGGACAGAATCCTAAAAGCAGTTTTGCTTAACTCATTCTATTTCACTTTCGGATTTCCTTCCTAACCAACACTCGACTACCAAGCCTCGCCCGCATAATCTCAAGTGGTTGTGAGCTCAAGCTACACAGACACCGTGAAGCTCGTGGAAGACAACTACTTCCACTGGTTGTTCAACATGCGGATGAAGCTGTCGCGCAAGGGACTTCTGGCCCACATCGTCAAGCCAGAGTTCGACCAGCTGGGTGACCGCTCCACGGTACTGTGGAAGACCGACGATCTGAAGGCCCTTGGTGTTATCGCTGGAGACGTGAGTCTCACATACCAAGTGTACATCCGTGGAGCGACAACCTCTACTGAATCGTGGCGCCTGCTTGAGGAGCAGTTCAACCGGAACACTCTCAAGAATCGGCTCGTCGTGACCAAGAAGTTGCACAACTTCAAGATGGAGCCCGGGACGCGGTTCGCGGCGCATGTGGACTGGTCCAAGGAGCTGGTGCTGCAAATGGAGACGATTGGTGAAGCTCTGGACGAGACTCGCCAACTCGTGCTGCTGCTGGGCAGCCTGATGAACACGCCAAACATGACGTTGGCGTACGCGATCCAAGCTCGGTCTGGTGTTGAAGTCTCGGAGGATTCGACATCGGCTCGGGAGAAGTCATTCGCAACGAAGAAGGAGTTCCGCAAGCGCGGGTTCTCCGGGAAGTGCTTCTACTGCAAGAAGCTCGGGCACAAGGAACAAGAGTGCGGCAAGAAGAAGGCCGATGAGGGACGTGGACGAGTCGCGCAGGAGGCGTCGGACTTCGCGTTCACGGCTACGGGTGCA